ACATTTGTCCAAAATTGCAGGAGTTTTGTCAGCATAAATTTGAATTTGTGACCTTAATTTTAATTTGTGACCTTAATAACAGTTCTGGTGTTGAGGTAGAGAAAATTAATTAATTAATTAATTAGTTAAACTCTAATTTTAGGGTGTGCCCCAATTTTTTCAAAAGTTGGCTGTAATTTTGAGTTCTCAATAATATTGATTCAATAATTAATTATTATCAGGTATTATTCCAGATTATAATAGAATCTCTTCTTTCCCATTTGAAATTAAACTTCCCTTATTAGATATTAATAACAATCACAGAATAATAACTAATAACCACAGAATAACTAAATAACCACGGAGTAATAACAATCACAGAATAATAATCACAAATTAATAAAAACAATAATCACAGAATAATAACTAAATAATCACAGAAGAATCACATAATAACCAAATAATCACATAATTACAGAATAGCAGGTAATAATTACCACAGATTAATAACCTAATAATAATGATCACAGATTAATAACCTAATAATAACAATAATTGTAGAATAAGAACTCAATAATAACACTAATAATGACAAAATAACAACCTAATAATAATTGGAGAATAACTCAATCATAACCTAATAATAATCACAGAATAATAACTCAATAATAACCTATTAATAATCACATAATAATAACTTAATACTAATAATTGGAGAATAATAACTCAATAATAATCACAGAATAATAACCTAATAATAATATTTGGAGAATAGTAACTCAATAATAACCTAATAATCATCACTGAATAACCTAATAATAACTATCACAGAACAATAACTCAATAAGAACCTAATAAAATAATCACAGAATAATAACTCAATAAGAACCTAATAATAATAATCACAGACTAATAACCTAATAATAATTGGAGAATAATAACTCAATAATAACCTAACCTAATAATAATAATCACAGACAAATAACCTAATAATAATAATTGGAGAATAATAACTCAACAACAACAATAATAATAATCACAGACTAATAACCTAATAATAATAATTGGAGAATAATAACTCAATAATAACCTAACCTAATAATAATAATCACAGACTAATAACCTAATAATAATAATTGGAGAATAATAACTCAATAATAACCTAACAACAATCCCAGAATAATAACCTAATAATAATAATAATAATAATAATAATCCCAGAATAATAACCTAATAATAACAATAATAATCCCAGAATAATAACCTAATAATAACAATAATAATCCCAGAATAATAACCTAATAATAATAATAATAATCCCAGAATAATAACCTAATAATAATAATCCCAGAATAATAACCTAATAATAATAATAATAATCCCAGAATAACCCCACACCTCAACACCAAAACACCTCAAGCCCAAACCTTAAAAAAATCAACTTGGGCCCAACATTTTACCGATTTTAACGGGACCCAGGGGCATGAATGAGACACAAATCGCTTCCTTATCGATGGGGGAGTGTCAGTGAGGACTGCCAGCGGCACATCCCATAATATCCCTGAGCCCCAGGGGATTTAGGATCTCACCCACCTGGGTCAGCTGAGCGCAGTTTTTGCTCTTCCCAGCCATGCAGGTCCCTGTCCTGTAGGCCGAAGGAGTCCCGTCAATGAATAACAAAGGGGTACAAAGAATTTTGGGGGTTTTTTTTTGTTTTGTTTTTTTGTTTTTTTGTTTTTTCCTCCTGATAATTCCAAGGGAAACCTCTCTCAGCCAACAATTCCGAATTTTGGAGGTGCTCTCAGAATAATCTGATAATTAAATGGAGGAACGAGTCCATTGGAAAAGTGGCACACTGGATATTTTAGCTCTTCCAATAATAAAAAAAATTTAAAAAAAAAACACAAAAATAATAAAAAATTTTGTTTTAAAAAAAAAATGCCCCAGCGCCTTTTTTTTTTTATTTTTT